ACACAAATAGTGATATCAGAACGGCCCGTTCTGGTTTCAGAACGGGCCGTTCCAGGTTCATGAAAAAAAAATTATATAATTTCATTCTTAAATTTTTTATTTAAAATTATTCATTATTTATTAATTTTATATATTTTTGAATTACATATAAATAATAACATAAAATATAATTTATTTAAAATTTTTGAACTAAATTAAAATTATAAAAAAGTACTAAAATTTCCCTATGAGTTTATCCAAATCAGAAATCGTTGATCTTTTACGAGGACAAAGATGAGAACTAAAAGCAAAACTCACCTTTGTTCTACCTATTGGCATGTCTAGTGTTTTGTCATAAAAATGCCACATTATTAAAAAAAATTCACCTCATTAATTGTCACATTATCAAAAATATTATACTATCGTTTCATTTTTAACTTTTTATCCCTATAATATTTAATATGCGATTTTGTTTCCCTGACTTATAATTTTATAAATTTGCTCTAATTGTATAAACTTTACAATTTTTATCTCACTATTAAATGGTTGTTCATTATCTCTTGAAGTTATAACATTAAAAATATATAAATCATATAATAATTAAACTAAAATATACTTTCAATTTTTATTTTTATCAAGATAAAAATAAAATTAGGATAAAAATGAAAATTTAATGTATAATTTAATCTAAATATCATTAGATATTAATTATCTAATCATCTACTTAATATATAAATTCATAATCAATGTTATAACTTTAATAGTTAATAGATAATATTTATTAATAAAATTAAAATTAAATTCCAAGCGTGTGGTTTAGTGGTAGGGGTTGATCCACCTTTAAGCAAGGTCAGGAGTTCGAATTCTGCCTTATGTATACAGTCGCGTTAAATCTTAGGGTCAGTTATCTTACCCTTTGAGGTGCCTCCTAGCGCGGTGATACTCTAGGGACGAACAAATTAAAAAAATAAAATTGAGAGACTAAAAATTGAGAAACAAAAATCATAAATTAAATATCATAAGAAAATCAAAAGCACAATTTATGTTAAAAAATTGTAATTTTTTTAATTCAGAATAACCTGGAACGGCCCGTTCTGGTTTCAGAACGGGCCGTTCCGATTCACTTTTTGTGTGTTAAATTTACAGTTGAAACGGGCCGTTCCAGGATCATATGCAACACATAAAGAGTGAATCGGAACGGCCCGTTCTGAAACCAGAACGAGCCATTCTGGTTGTGTTTCGAAGCCAAAAACGTTCGTTTTTCATTTAATTTTAAAATTTTTAATTTATACAGAAAACGTCAACCTTATTAACGTTTTCTTTACATTTTTTATATTGAATAGTGTCAACACGTCATTCAGAGTGACGTTTTTCACAAATCGTCACTGTGTATGACGTTTTCTTCTTTAAATAGTTTTTTATTAATTTATTTTAGAAATTTTTTTTTTTATTTTTATTTATTCTGGTTCTTAAGCCAAAAGATCCACTTATTTTAAGAGTAAGTTTTGGTAAATTTACTTCACTCAATAATTCATGTTTTACATTAAATTTTAACAATCCAATCATTTAACTAAAAGTTTTTAATATATAGATTAAGTTAACAAATTTTTACAAAATTTTAAAATCGTATGTTACTTCGTTATATAGATTCAAATTAATGTATAAAAATATTTTTATGATTATTCATCAATTTTAATTAATGAAGCAAAATATCAAATAATTTTTATTTTTTAAAAAACTTTGTAGACTTGATCTATATATTAAAAATTTATAGATTTGATTCATGTATTAAGAATTTTTAATTCAATAATTTGATCATTGAAAGTTGATGTAAAACACGAATTATTGGATATAATAAGTTTAAGTAGACTTAATCTTAAAAAAAGTGGGCCCCTCTTCTCTCTTTCTATCTATCTATCTATCTATCTATCTATCTATCTATCTATCTATATATATATATTAATTGACACCTTATACTCAAGAGTAAACTCCCTTTTATATGTGTTCTTAGAAAGTGGAGTTTTTTTTTTATATTTACATAAAACTATAAGATATTATATATAAAATCTAATAATTTTGATATTAGTAACGGAATCATAAAAGTTTCACTTGCCAAATTTTTTGATTTGTTGTTATTTATCAATATTGATATTATTGAAAAATATATAATATCTTGTAGTTTTATATAAATAAATAAAAATCTCTAGAATACATATAGAAGAGAGTTTGTTCATGAATATAATGTGTCAATTAATTTATATGTATTATATGTAATTATAATTCAGTGAGATTTTTTTTAGAGTTATTTTTGTAATTAAAAATAATAATTTTAACTTAAGAAGTAGTAATAAAATATTTTGAAGAATTGCTGATTTTTTTTCATTAAAACTTACATGAGTATTATAGATTCTCAAATATATTTTTATTAAAAAATTGACATAATAATGATAAAAATATTTTTATGATTATTCATCAATTTTAATTAATGAAGCGAAATATCAAATAATTTTTATTTTTTAAAAAAATTTGTAGACTTGATCTATATGTTAAAATTTTATAAATTTGATTCATGTATTAAGAATTTTTAATTCAATGGTTTGATCATTGAAAGTTGATGTAAAACACGAATTATTGGATATAATAAGTCTAAGTAGACTTAATCTTAAAAAAAAATGGGTCCCTCTTCTCTCTCTCTCTCTCTACATATATATATATATGTGGAATGCTAATATACTCCCACCTATTTTTTAGTGGGAGTATGTTAGCAACCTACACCAAAATTTTATGACAAAAAAACTGTTCATTTCTTTTGATTTGGTTAATTCGTACAAAGAATATTATAGTAATTTAATTTAATTTAATTTAAAATGAAAATAAAATATTTTTTCTCTCTTAATAATTTCATTCTTCAATTCATTTATTTTTTCTATTAATTAATTTTTATTTATATAGAGAGAGAGGGGAGACATCATGAGAGATGAGAGCGAAATGAGTTAAAGAAAGAATTTAATAGGAGAGAGATAAATAAGTTAGAAAAAGAATTTAATAGGAAAGATAAATGAATTGGGGAAAAAATTTAATAGGAGAGAGAAATGAATTAGAGAATGAAATTAATAAGAGAGAGAAAATATTTTATTTTTATTTAAAATTAAATTAAATTACTATAATATCCTTTATACAAATTAACCAAATCAAAAGAAATGAGTGATTTTTTTGTCCTAAAATTTTGGT